CAATCCCTAATATCTAGCCTTTCCATTATTATGGTGTTGCTGGACTCAACAAATCAAAACATTCTCATAATACATATAATATATGTTCGTTTATAAATAATATATATATATAGCTATACATATAAACCATAATTACATATAATGTAGGTATATTAAAATTAATGTAGGTATATTGGATGTCGTATAATGTATGTAATTTACCTATACATATTTTCGTAGTAGGTATATTATAATGTAGGTATATTGGAATAGATAATTATGTACATTTTTTATAAATTAAAAACAGGTACACTATTCATATTAGGTAAATTATATTTTTCATAAAACAAACAATAAAAATATTATTGGTTATTTTTCATAGAACAAGTAATAGGTACATTATTTTTTCAACATAATTAGTATGTACAGTATTATTCATAAACAATTATAAAGTAGATTATTAGTCATGTATAATTCATAAAAAGAAAATAACATAAACATTTTTATTAAACAAACCGATTACCTAAATCTGTATTTATTGTTAAATTTTAAAAAATGTTTCCAAATTAATTTCTACATCCATTTGGAGATCTTTCCAAATTCAACGTCTGTCATTATATAGAATCCAATTAAAAACTGTTTTCATATTCATTAATATACAAAATGCAATAATGGCTTAGTTGGGGGTATTTTTGGAATCTGAAAAGTACAATAAATCAGATTTTATGCTTAATTAGGTAACTTGCTGAGTTGGATCCTAGGCATGAGTTTTTACTTATACAAATTGGGTATTATTTATAGAAACAAAAAGTGAAGGGTTGTAGGTACGACAAATTGAATTTGAAGGATGTAAGTCAAATTTACTAAAAAAATAATTAACGTTATTGGAGATAAACTAAGTCGCACACCCTTAAGTGTTGCCCCCAACATGGTTGGAATGCAATCTCGAGTGGAAAATATCAACTTATGGTTACAGCACGGATCAACTGATGTTGGCATACTTGTAATTTATGGTGTAAGTGGAATAGGGAAGACAACCATAACAAAGTATGTTTATAATTCAAACTTTCGAAGATTCAAAGGCAGCAACTTTCTTGAAAACATCAAAGAAATTTCACAGCAAACCAATGGCTTAGTTCAAATACGAACACAACTTCTTTATGATATTTTGAATGGGAGAAAAGTGAAAATACAGAGTGTTAGTCAAGGAATAACTGAGATTGAAGACGCCATAAGTTCTAAACGGGTTCTCCTTGTCCTCGATGATGTGGATCATGAGGACCAATTAGATGCACTACTTCGGATGAAAGATCAATTTTGTCCAGGAAGTAAAATCATCATAACAACTAGGCGTGCAAGATTAAAGACTCATCTAGTTACTGAGGTACATGCAGTTGAATCTGAAAATACCTGTAGGATGACTAAAAATGCCTAGAGGGCTGTGAATAGGCCAATTTAATATTATAATCAATAAACTTCGTTAGCAGGATTGATATGGCTTATTAATCCTGAAATGTGTTGGGCATAAAATAAAAGAACACGCAGAGAATTATTTAATGTGGTAAAATCTCACCTCTGTGGAAAATCCACGGGACTCCTCAGTCCAACACAAATCCACTATAGAACGATGATTACAAGAAGTACTCACACACTTATGAGTCACCGACATGCATACGAATGCAATATGAATGAAGAAAAGATTTGATAAATCACCAAGTAAACAAGGAACACTTGATGCCTTATCTAAGAAAATAAGCACTGCAGCTTTCACAAAACAGATTCAATATATTCCAAAATTTAATACGTTGAAAGCCTGCTCTTTGAAAAGAAGACACCTTGGTTTTATTCAAAACAGGTTCTCTCACTCAAGAGAAACCTACGTGACCACCAATCCTATTCAACAAAGACTTTCAACCTTATTCAACTACCACACTACAAAATTTGATGCAATATGAACTCACAACAAACCTATTCAACTATGACTCCAAAACTTGATCCAATATAATCTCTCAGTAAAGACGTGAAAGCAGGACCACATATGTTATTTAATTATGACTATTAGTTTTGATTCAAAATGGATTCTT